AAAAAAGGAAGCATTCCAGAGGAAGGCACTGAAGGGCGAGCCCGTACAAAAGGAGGATAAACAAACAACAATCTGCACTACCTTTCAAAGGACTGGGCCCAGAAAGGATGTCCGAATATCACAAAGATAAGTAAAATTTTATGTTACTTTGCAAACTAAGTTAATCTTTCATTCTTACTGCAAGTGGCAGATTTCAAGAAGTTTTACCTCATGCGAGGTCTAGCTTTATCGCCAAAAGGGCGAGAAATGAGTTGTTACCGATTTTGGTATTATGTTTTTCAATTACTCGCGCGGGCCCACCAGCGGCCGAGCGGTAAAGTCTCTGAACACTGGTAGTTCGGTCGAGGTTCGAATTCCGCGAACGGGCTGGCTGCATGGGCGTTTTCGTGGTTTTCCCATGTGTAACGTGTATACGAGCCAGTTTCCTTAGAAAGTCCTCACGAAGGCATCCCTCCTCTTAGGCAGATAGCCCTCGGGCTTTGCCATAATCACACACAACACACACAATTATTACGTTAAAACTAAGTTGATTAATAGCGTTGTGTAAAGACTTAAATATTGTACAAGTTATTGTATAAATTTATTTAAAACATTCTGGCAAAAGAAGTTTTAGTCTGAAAGACTTTTTGAAATGTAGTATTGCAATGTAGAAAGAATTGGCACTGCTTTGAAAAACAATGTACTACTAATGTAGTTTTCAAAGTGTAAAATTAACGGCATGTTATATGTTCTTATATACAATGTGAACTGTTATTTCAAATGTTAAGAAATACCGTGATATGGTAAAAGTGAAGTATGTTAAAAATTTTTTTTTATTCGTGTGACTGTAAAAAAGACTAAATCATGGTGAATATGTGTTAAAGGTTGAATGAATGTAGTTAGGCTCTCTGACGCTACACTTCAGAGTTAGCCACTTTCAGAATAGTACCTCAGGGTTTAGAGTTGAAATTAGGGTGTGTTACGAGGGTCTGGTATGTTGAATTTAACACGTTAGTGTTTTGATTGTAGGAGGAAGTGTTGAAACACATAGACATTAAACACATTCGTGTTTGGTGTTCTTTTACAAAACACATGTCAGAGAGCACGGGGAGAGATAATAAAATAGTCATGATGAAATAAGAATGTTAAGAGAATATAATTATAATGTTACTTGCCATTTCATTGTGTAACATTTCATTAAACTAGTTTTCCTTCCAAGATCTCGGAAGGAACCAGATTTGAATAAAAGCTCCTGTTTAGATGCAGTACAGATGAAAAAATTGTGTGTCCTGGGAGCTGCTATTGTAAAAACAATTTCTTTCTTTAAATTTCTAGTTTCTAGCGAAAAATGTAAAAGATTGGCCTCGCGTTAGATTTAGAGCTAAAAGTTTTCAACAAGGTCGTTTTAGACCTCAGTTTCAAACTAATTAACTCTGGCGGGAAGTATGTAAGGATCTTAAGTTTTACTAACGTTTATTTATTTTAAATCTTTACTATCACTTCTTATTTCTACTTCCGGCCAGAATTATAAGCGTTAATTGTTTTATGCAAAGTTTGTCTGGAGAGCGCCAAGTATTTAAGTTGTGGCTTTTTTGCCAAGCGAGAGAGAGGAAGCAGTGAGTTCGAAGCAGGCCGTTACCTTAGAAGTTTGACGCAGTTGCTGGTTGCCTTCCAGGCCAGAGGTTTAATCCTCTTGATAACTCTAAACGTATGTAGTATTATCTGTACTACATTACGGCTTCCTGTTAATATAAGGCCAATCTTCCACGTTTTATTTCAAAGTTAAATTAGAGTTTAGTTTTACTTTTATTTTTACGTTTAGACCACAAGTGTGGGTCTTGTTATTCCGAAGTAGGAAATTCATTGTAAATAGAGAAAAAATAAAGGGTTTTTTATACCCTTCTTGAGGTATCCTGTCTCTTCCCACAGTTTTGAACATAGCTTTAGTAAGCTCTCTGTTCCGAGTCAGGTCCTTGCATGTTCCCGAAGAAGGTAAGACGGAACATTGAACCTGATAAAACCATAAAATTCAATTCATCAGCAATATCGCAAAATGATTTTAAAATGAGCCTGTCTTTAGAATTTTTGATACACAGTCTCGCGCGGGGCAGATAAAGTTTTTTTGTTTTCGTACAGTGTTGCCATTCCTTACTTTGAAATCATTGAGTTTGTTAATCACAAATTCGTTAACTTTTTACATAATATGAAATAAATAATGAAACAAATTCCAAATTAAGCCCATATTCGCTGGAAGATTGCGTCATTCAAAATTGGATGGCTCTACGTAACCGTTGTTTTATCACAATATATGAAACATACATACATTCATGCAGATTCTTCATTATTTATTTTCTTTAAATATAATACAGGGCGATAATATTTCGTGGCAACAATTTGAAAAGTGATACGCCGTTTTTAGTGATTCAACGCAAAATGCCAAAACGAAATTAATTGCCCTTCTGGGAATATTGTCCCTTTTGACTAAAACTGGAGAAATATGCGTGAGTGAATACGGTATTTAATAGTTATTCAATAGTTCAATAATTACTCAATAGTTACCAAAATATAGTAAAATACTGTTTAATAACGCTATTTAATGAAATTATGCTACTCAGCTACCCACAAGTGAGAGTGAAATGTGTTCACCATAATTATATTGAATTTCTCTGTAATATTTGTTGACGTCAAAAATATGTTCTGGTAATGATGAATAAATTCTGTCCCATTATTTTTCAAATAACATCAGCTTTTCCCCTTTCCGTTTCGCTTTATGGATCTGTAATTAGCCATCACGTGCAAGGAAGTATTTTAATCCATAGGTAAACACATTGCAATGATTAGGAATTAATTTTGGTTTAGAATAACCTTCGTCTTGCAAACACGGACGGACGCCTTTTTGGACGATAAAATTAGTAAACAAATTTGATGTGTTACACCAAATGACTTCCTTGTATGGAATATTAAATTATACGCATTTTTTCTTGCATTTCATTTAAACTTATTGGATTGAATTAAATCTACTTCGCGACAGCATAACCACAATAGATAAATCATTCTTTAAAATCACTCTTTTGTTTACCATAGCGACACTGGCGCTAGGTTCTTAACAGCATTATATTTTCGTTCATATTATAACTCAGAATGCACAAAATTTATATCAGTAAAGATTATCTAATCGTTGCCAATGTTCTATTAAAATACTATAATAAAGCTAGAACGCGTGTATAAAAGAAATTAAGCAAAACGAACAGAAAAGAACATGTTTTCAAAGAAATGTACTTCTCTTCATTAATTCATTTCACTTCGCGACAAGCAAAAAAATAAAAACTCAAATATCTATATTAAAAATACGAAGTAAATCTCAAACACTTATTTCCTCGAAAAAATTTCAGAAGAATTAAGCATGATTTAATTGGCAATAATAAATGAATACGTTATCTTTGTTGTTGGAAAGCTAAGTTTTCTAGATTGGCAAGAAATCCACTAGTCTCCTGTTTCAAATGTAAACATCAATGGCCGCCATCAAAAAAAAAGGCTTAGCGGCAATTAAACAACTTTAAAATTGCTGATAATTCTAAAAATATTGCATACAGATTTACTAAAGGCATAAAATCCTTAACCGGAAGATAAAAACAAATAATCAATCATTTTTAAAGCAAAAAAATGTACAATTTACAAATATAAGAGTGACAGAAACTGCGATCACTGAGCCGGGTAACAGAGTGGATATATATATAAATATAGTTATATACGTTTGGTGCGGCCATTGCAACCAAATACGAGGTGCACATTACATGTTATAGCAGTCCTATATACAAAATTTCAACGTTCTGAGGCTACTCGTTTTGAGTTATGCGAGATAGGTACGTACATTACGTTCGTACAGACGCCACGAAAAATTCCTTCAGAATTCATTTTAAAAGTTTTTTATAATTTTTTTGGGTGGAAACGAGTATTTTATTGTGTCCTTACGTACAGATATCACGCAAAAACATCGTTAAATTTCATTCGATAGCGGTAAAAATGGATATTTTTGTTGAAATACGCTGCCTGAAACTTTTTGCGATTACAATACTTACTTTTTACTTCGTACAAGGAAGTAAAAAGTTGGAAAATGTGCGAGGAAGTTTGGTATTATCCATTTTAATTGCATTTAATGAAAACTGTGCCGTGGTTTCGGTTTAAGTGATAGTGGCGGTCTCGAGGATTATCTGCCTAAGAGGAGGGATGTTTTCGTGGAAGAATTTATAAACTGGCTCGTATACGCGTCGCGTTACACGTGCAGAAACCTCGAAAAGGCCCATTCAGCCAGCTCGTTCGCGGGATTCGAACCTCAGACTGAACTACCAGTGTTCGGCGACTTTACCGCTCGGCCGCTTCTGGGTCCAAAATGTAATGTGGACACCACATAACTTCTTTGTACGGCCCGTTAAATTACATCGGTAAATTATAAGAAATACCGGACGATGCTGTACACTTATTATTTCTTTTAATCTTATTTTTTGCTGCACTTCATTTAAACTAATTTTCTCGGATTCCATTCATTTAATTATTTCAGTTCTCACTTCGCGGTAAGGCAAAAATGCACAAAAACTCAAAACACCTTCAATAAAATTTGTAAAATACAAGAAAAGCCTAAAACCCGAAGTAAAATTAAAAACGTTTAAATAAACAATTTTTACAACTTAAATCCATGTTTAGTGCGAAGAATATGCTATTTAATAAATAAAGATAACCCACAAAACGTTAAAAAAAACGCACATTTGGGCGTAATTTAAAATCTGAAGGCTTTCAAATTTTTATGTGTGTGTGTGCAAGGTGTACTTTCCCTTCGAAAATCCTCTACGAAGGCGTACTTTCCGTTAGGTTGGTAGTCCTAGTATACTTTGCCATATTTCAGTGCTCAGCCTGATAAAAAAAAAAAAAAACATGAATTCTAATTTTTAATATTTTCTTAACTTCTCATAAGCAGATACATGTAAATTTATCTTAGTTAAACTTGAGCATAAATTTTAAAATAGTCAAACAGTTATTTTAAAAACTTATGTTTTCTTACAGAATTTCCTAGGCAGGATGGACGTTATGCAATTGTCACCGGAGGTAGTCGAGGCATTGGACTGGAAATAGTTAATAACTTATTAGAATCAGGATATAATGTCGTAATTGGTAAGTGATTTCAAATGTCCATTTTCAGCTTCAAATTAAACTTATTGTGATTTTAATTTAAAGTTATGTTCTGTATTTATAATAGGCTCTTCGTCCTCGGAGGTGAATAGAAATCTACTGGAACAAATGTTTAAGAGAAAATATGAAAATTCCTCAGGTAATACTGAAATCTGTTCTTTGTTATATTCTTCCTATGCAGTTTTATTTCTAATTTGATTTCGTTTTTTTATCTTAAAAATAAGTTTTTTACCTTTTTATGTCGACCCGAGGTTTTTAGAAATTGTTCGTACGGACACATTTGCAATGACAATACAAAATACTCCAAGAATTTTTAAAAAAAGTTTTATAAACGGCGTTAGCCCAGAAGGGCTATTAATTTCGTTTTGGCATTTTAGTCAACTCTAATGCCTGTTTACTTTTCAAGTTGCCACCCCAATATTAATCGCCCTGTTTATTGTAAATTAAATAATTAAAAATCTGAATAAATGTATTTCTCGCATTGTGATCAAAAACGGTACCTAGAGCCTCCAATTTTGAAAACGTTATCCTCCCACCGATATAGGCAGTTGAAGCCCAACTTTGGGCTTTGTTTTTTCTCGATTCGTATTGCACAGCTCGTGGTTTTTCATGAAACTCAATTATTTCCAAGCGGCAATGGAAACCGTTGGGGGAAGCATTTTATTTAAAGCGCGCGAGACTATGTTCGCAAATTCTTTAAAGGTATGCTCTTTCAAAAATTTTGCGATATTTTATGGTTTAAATGCGAAGAACATGATACTTAATATATAAAAGTAACACACAAAACGTTAAAAAAAAAAAAAAAAAAAAACCTTTGGGCGTAATATAAAATCTGACAGCTTTCAGATTTTTTTGTCTTAATTTATAAAATTCTTTTTATTTTTAAATTTCGCATTGAATTCTTGTTTAGCAGTTAAATTTATCATAGCAGAATTTTCATCATTACATTGCTATGTAGGATTTTATGTTTATTGGTATAATTATCTCTTTATTTTGCTTGTATTCTAACTTTTACTATGATACTCCGAAACCAGGATCCGAATTATTGATTGCATTTAAGCGCACAATTCTTGAGTTTGGGATACAGCTTTTAGCTGTTAAATACCCGTGAGTACTGAAACGATTCACTGACTTTAGCTTTGACAGCCGCATTTGCTTTGTTAAGTGACTGAGGTCACTTAACTAAACTTTTGTTAAGTGACTGAGCTAAGCTAAAGCTTACTTGTTGTGTTTTTACATCTATCGATGCTCCACGCTAGAAGAAACTTTTCCGAGAAATGATTTTTCTCCTTCTCCAAACATTGGAACCGATGCCCCAGCTTATATGCAGGACATTTTGAAACTGAGGCGAAAACGTTTTGCTTGCAAAGCACTGTTTTCGTGCAAGTCAACCAGTCTGAAATCCCGAAAGAGAAGTTTCCCGGATATGTTTCTTTCGATATGCAGTCACGAAGAGCATTTAAGGAAATAGTACTCTGCAGCGAACATGGGAAAATGTCTTGATTGGTCATAATGTAAATACGTCAGGACTCTTAAGTAGTACGAGTAATATTTGTTCCAGCCATTGTCGATTTGTTTTCTTTCAGTAATAAAGTTAAGGGGACAGTACACCTTTAACAATCCGAAAATGTTCAAAATTTGACCATGTTTCATTTAAAAAACACTATTCAGTTTATGCATAAAACTTTCGAGGATTAGCTCCTATTATAATAAAATAAAAAATAATTAATGAAGAAAATTAATATTTAGATACTTAAAATATTAAAAAATTATTTTTCATTTTCGAATTCACTTTTCACTGTGCGCCAGATATTAATTTTAATTTATTTTTAGAATAAATTAATGCTAAAGAAAGAAAGAGTAGTTTGTTTGTATATTATATTTAATATTTTAAATTTTATTCTTAAATATTACAATATATATAAAAATTATTGCATAATTTTGCTTTAAGAGGTCATAAAATGTTATTTACATTATATCAATGTCAGTAGAAACAGGGTAATCATAATTGTGTTAAGTATCAAATTGCAAAAGAGACTTAAATAGTTTTGGAAATTCCTGTGCGCCGTTGTAAAAACAGCGTTTTGAATAAATGCAATTAAAGTATCTTTGAATAAGTATCTATTTTAAACTTCATGAAAAAACATTATACATGTACTAGACTATTTGCCAGTGTATAATAAATTTTGGAAGAAACATCAGAAATGACAAAATATGACTTCTTATGTATCTTACGTGCCACAAATATCTTCATAAACTAAATTCATTAAAGAATACAAAATTGCAAATTCACTTAAATAAAAGAGAAAATGAAGTGATGTTAAAGTTGATCATAGTCTATATATAGAGATCTATAAACACAAGTATTTAGAATATTTTAATTTATTAAAGAAAATAAAACAGCTTTAAAATTTCCCGCTTCATATAGAATTGCCCTCTATTCTTCTGAGTTCAAATTTACAAGTTGCATGCGTTGCTCTGCGACTTTCTAAATCTAGCTGAACTAAATTCTGCATCAAAAATTCGCTTTATCAGCTTTTTTGTGCTTCAATTGATACTGTCTACACGAACCCATTTTTATAACTTCAAGTCGACTATTCTCCCATCATTGAATGATAGAATTGCTTCATATGCAGCAAGCTGTGCGAATTTACTGATCCGCTTGTTTGGGGCATAGTTTCAACACAAGGAATTAAATGATTCTTGGAGTTTGTGTTTTGCTCCGCAACGTTTCAAAAGTTTGGGATCTGGAATCTTTAAATAGGTTTTATACAGTCATCACTGCAGATGCAGCTGTTTTTGTTGGAATCTTTCTCAGAACAGCAGCTTTGCTCTTGGAACGCACCCCGTGATTCTCACCTTGTGGACAAAATGTGAAGAGGTTCTCATCGGTAGAACGTTTATGTAGAATATAGCCCACACAGCTTTCTTGTTCCGCCGCTACGACAGACATTCAGCTTTTGAAGTTGTCGACAGCATTTTTCTTATTTTCAATGCAGATTTTGGATAGGTGGTAAGTCCAGTAACCACAAAATGTCGCATACCTGCACGACCTTGACTAATACCCTCTCATTCCATACATAATCTTTATTATTTCTGGAATGTTTTTCTTGTCACCCATATAGACAAGAATAAAAAAAGTCAGTTTCCCACAAGTAATCGCAGCAGAAAAAGTTGAAGGTAATCCATTATGTTTTTTTCGCACACTTGTGCATCTGATCCACATTGATACACAACAAATACTTGAAAATATACTGAATAAATTCGATATCCAACATTCTATATCCTTAAATTTAGAATCAGCAGTACGTTTCAAACAACTAGAATTATTTTCTTGCTGAAGCACTCACAAAATCTTGATTGTCTGGTGTTGTAAACGATTACCATGAAACTTTCGCTTCTTCTGACGCTGCCAGAAGAATTTTAGGAGTTTTCACAATCCATATTCAACTAAATTAATAAAGTACTTGTAAAGAGTATTTAAAGCGTACTATTAGTTAATATAATAGTACTTTTAGTTAATATAAGAGTAAATACACACAATAAACCACGGTAAATCTTATAACAAGGCCAACTCAAACGAAAGACAGTTCTTAACTTAGCTCTCATTTTCTACACAACGTGATAAGCAAGCGATAACGTATCCAACAAATTAAAGTAGAAGTACGTTTCATCTCGTCTTCTTCCACTGGCATATTTTTATTTAAAAATAGCATTGCTGGCTTTCAACACCGAAATCCAAACTGAGGGCCTTTTAAAACTATAAACAAACACACAGCAGCTGCCACGATTATTGCTGGTGTAAAAAACAGCTGCTTCGATATTTACATTATTTTCAATATCCGCAACTAATGAACGTATGAAAGAAACAATTGCACCAAATTACTCAGAAATGATTGGGCTATAAAAATATCAGAAAATTGAAAAATCGAATTTTTGAAAATTTTAAAGGTGTACTGTCCCCTTAGTGAAAAATTAAATTTTTATTTCCCCGGAGGTATGCAATAAAATTATAAAGAAAGTTGCAAGTTAAGCTGCCACGAACAGTGATTTGCTTACTATCCATTTCCTTATTTTATTTCACATCTTAAATCGCTAAACGATAATATGTTTTAATGCATTGTTATTAGGAGTCATCGGTAAATAGTAACAGAATACAGTCAAAATCTTTAATCCGGACGTCCATAATCCGGAATGATCTATAATCCGGACCTCAAAGCTACACTTTCTGCGCATGTGTAAACGGATTGCATGCGCAAAATACGTTTACGCATGCGCGTTTAATGTATAACCGACGGTATAAGCTAAGCTAAAATTATCTAATTATCTATTTCAGTTAATGTTGCAGATTGCGTTTTTCCTTAATCTTCTAATTGGTTTTCTAACAGCTTATTATTTTTTGCAGACTGTTAGAGCAATTTTATAAAAGTAAACTTGAACTTTCGATTATGTCAAAAAGAATTTACGATTCTGGAGCTGCCGAAGTATCTACAAAGTGAAAGCATGTCTCGATGTACATCAAACGAAAAGTAGAATTGCTGGAAAAAAAAAAAAAAAAAAAAAAAAAAATGGATACAGGTCCATATCCTTTGTTTCTCTAAGCATTCCGAAATCTGTTTATCAATTTCACGCTGCTCTGCGGAGGGGGGGGGACGTCGCAGCTCACAATGAACTGGAAGTTGATCTGTCAGCACTATCCTTATCTTCTGGGCAAATGGTTTTATTTTATTCGGCTTATAATTCCTTACTAAGTGTAGTATAATCTCGATGTACTCCATCTTTTATATGATTTAAATCAAATTCCTCGTCATTATAAATATCACGAATACACATCAAATAGTTTTCTGGTTGCAATTTTCTAATTTCGACTATGTTATGTATGGCTTTACGCATGCGCGCGTTGAAGGAAATGTTTAATAAAGTAAACAAATAAATGTTAAGCTTTTTTTTTTTTTTTTTTTTGTAAATTTTGATACCCTTTAGATCATAATGTTTATTTCATAAATTACGGTTTCATATTTTTAATTTCTGCATGCCATCTTACCAGATTTAAACTGATGATCTATAATCCGAAAAAAACCGATAATCCGGAATCGCCGAAGTCCCGACGAGTCTGGATTAAAGAATTTTGACTGTATA